CTCAGCAATGGATGCTCTGCAGTGAATGGGTGCCGTCAGAATGAGAGTTCAAACAGCTGATAAAAACATCACAATAATCCACTCCAGTACATCAATTTCTCCAAATCTGTTCCCATGAATAAATAAACTCATGAATACATTTTCAGCTAATTTTCATTTTGGGGGGGATACTATTCCTTTAAATGGTGCATTGCTCTGTGAATAAAAGATTTATTTGCTTTATATATTCCGACTACAGATGTGTGCTCAGCTATAAATGTCACTGTCACACCGTCTCCGTTCAGTGTGGTGGCTGAGGGGGAAAACATCACCCTGTCCTGTCAGGTGAGCCAGCGGCGGCGGTCGACGAGTCTTCCTGTGGTGCGGTGGATGTTTCAGCCGGAGTCAGGAGGAGAGGAGCTGCTGGTAGCACGGGTGAACATGCGGAGAGCCAAATTCTACGGAAACTACACCAAGAGCTTCTGCAAGCCCAAAATTAAACTGACAGTGGTGAAACAGGGCAAGATATACAACCTCCTCATCATGAACATCAGCACACAGGACAGGGGTCTTTACAGCTGCAGGGTCCAGGAGTTCAAGAAGCATCATGAACGATGGAAAGCTTCGACCAACAGCTCGGCCTCCACGCAGCTCAGAGGTTTGTCCATATGTTGTTGTGAGAAGGGTTGGAAATCAATGGGTCATTGCAGCAAAAATGCCACCAAAAATGCCCCTCAAATTTAAGACAAAGCATACCTATAGATACAATTCACTACAGTTTTCAGCTGAAATGAACACTGGTGGCAATAAAACACCAATAACTTTTGTTCATTTTCACACAAATTATGATTATTAAAAACGTATATTTGTGTGGTTCCTCACACAATAATATGTTATGTCCTCAAAATGCTTTTACCACAGTGCATGATTTGTAAACTAATACATTTTGACGTTTGCATCACATAAGCAGCTCCATGGGCTTTTCTGACATAGCAAACTTGCTTGGTAGCGCACCCGGTACAGCACTGCACTTGTGATATGAAGCAATCTGGTATGATTCCCAGGAAACACAAGCAATGATAAAAGAGCTCAAAGACTCGTAGAAGCAACATAAAATTGCATGGTTGCTTCAGTTTTTATCTCACATTTGCTTTTGTTAACATTATTGTTTAAGTTTAGGAACGGGTATAGTGTAACGTTATTTTCAAATGCTATAAAACATTTACCTTTTTGTGTTACATTGCCAAATTCACATTCATTGCCACGGGCACATTTGTCCAATGAGCCTGGGCTGAGAAAATCATAGTGCATGGCTGTGAAGTAAACTAAAAGCAACTGATAAGGGAACAGTCCTATAATATGTGCCGCTCAAACTTCCTATTTCAATAATACGTCAATCAAGGACCACGGTGCTTCTCAAACAATTTCATGGGGTCTTCAGTTTTGGAGGTGTAAAAAAAAAGCTCTAAATTTATATTTTTCAAAAGGTATTAAAATGTTTTAATATAAAAAAAATAACCTCCACGCAGCTCCAAGGTTTGTCCATATGCTGTTGTGTACAGGGTTGGAAATTAACCCCCTGTTTTTGGCCAAAAATGCCGCCAAAATAAACAAAAATGCCCCTCAAATTCAAGATTCAGTGACAAAAATAATCATGATTGCGGCATTACATTTAGATCTGATCATATCGCATCATATTTCTTTTAAATAAGCGTTGTGCATTATAACCAATCACAGGAGTTTTGTTCAGTGCGTGAATTCTGCTCTCTCAGGATTTGTTTTCCATCATAAACAACAAAGTGCAGATGTACGGATGAAGAAAGAGATTCATTTCACAGTGTATGCAGCTTCAGTGATTATAATGTGATCTAATGTGATTTGAGAGTGCTTAAACTCAGGCTAGACTATATTCAGTGATAATGTGATCATGTAAATTCTTTGCTCCGTTGCTTTTTGCCGTTTTCAGAGTTAAAAGATTTTTGACGTGTCTAGAGACACCTTCATTAAAAAAATTATATATATATATATATATATATATATATATATATATATATATATACACACAGTATATTATAACCAATGTTAAGTGTTGAGTTATTGAACGTTTCAGTAACCGGAAACATTCTTTGCTCGCTTGTTTTTCATGCTATTAACATAACCAATGTGAAATCTTGAAAGAAAATCTCATTTCGGACCCTGGTTGTGAGTGACTGTTTGTTAAAAGTTTCTCTCATCTACACTCTTAAATTGTCTCGAGGTTTGAAACATCTGACAAAATGCTCACCGCATAAGCAACAATGTCAAGAAACTCCTTCAGAGTTGTGTGTTAGATTTTCCATTAAAAGCATGTGGAAATGTGATCTAATATTTATTCGCTATATATCTGTCTTCTGGCAGTCAGAGTTGAGTTGAAAACAAAGTGAACACTGGAATTGCGACAGCCAAACTCTATTGACACTGGCTGCAGAGTGCAGTTTTCCTTTACTAACTTACTGTACAGACAGACAGACACGCGAGTGGCACAGAGGATGGAGAGACTGTCGCTCTCTCTGGATCCAAGACAAAATAAGCCCTTATGTATGAAGGGGTTTACAGCAAAGCAGAAAGAGAAAAACGGGGTCAGAGACTCCACTAGATCAGAGTTTCCCAAAAAGGGGCTGCAGAGTTCGCTGTGGGTGGGCATCGCCTGGGCTACTTAAAGGAGTCATATGATGCAATTGAAATTTTTCCTTTCTCTTTGGAGTGTACTCTTGGTGCATAAAGAAGATCTGTAAAGTTGCAAAGACTAAAGTTTAAAATCCAAAGAGATATTCTTTATAAAAGTTAAGAGTCAACCACGCCTACCTAAAACGGCTCGTTCTAACACGCCCCCACATGTCTACCTCACTGTGTGGGAAGATTTGCATAACGCCGCCCAAATGTTCACGCAAAGAAAGAAGGCGTAACTTTTATTCTCGCTGTAGTATTGTTGTTGCCGTGTGTTTCGTTGTGAAAGCAAAACTACTTTGTTTGGTCTTCCAAAAGAAGACGATATCCGCTTCGTCATGCCTAGAGCTGATCCGTGCTGGTCGCTGAGGAAATACATCAACTTTGCGCTGTGGATCGGCTTTCACCGTGGACGAAGCGGAGTCTAGCCCGGGGTCGTTGTGTTGAGTTGAGTCATATGTGACCCTCGACCACTGAATAAATAAACTTTCCATTGATGTATTGTTTATTAGGATCGGACAATATTCGGCCGAGATACAACTATTTTAAAATCTGGAATCTGAGGGTACAAAAAAAAAATCTAAATATTGAGAAAATCGCCTTTAAAGTTGTCCAAATTAAGTTCTTAGATGAAATTAAAATGAAGTTTTGATATATTTACAGTAGGAAATTTACAAAATATCTTCACGGTACATGATCTTTACTTAATATCCTAATGATTTTTGGCATAAAAGAGAAATGTATAATTTTGACCCATGCAATGTATTGTTGGCTATTGCTACAAATATACCCCAGCGACTTAAGACTGCTTTTCTGCTCCAGCGTCACATACAGTATGTGCCACTCAAACTTCTATTTCAGTAATATGTCAACACATGAAAGAACATGGTGCTTGTCAAGCCATTTCGTGGGGTCTTCATTTTTGAAGGTGTAGAAAAAGCTCTAAATTTCAGATTTTCAAAAGGTATTAAAATTAGTTCATATATATATA